GTTATGTTTCTCAGGAAGTGTATAAAATGGGAGGAAGGAAATTTGGTTTCTTGACTTTGGGACCTTATGATTGTACACCAGCCTCATTGAGCTTGGATGAAACAAATATAGGAACTTGTTACAAACCGGTGACAGAGTTGATCGATTTGCATAACAAGAAGTTTCCGGATGCTTTAAGGCGGTTACAACGTGAACTATCCGGATTCAAATACGCACTTCATGAATATCGCACTTCTCTATCCGAAAGAATCAACAATCCTTCGAAATACGGTAATTAAACCTTTTTTTGCCATAGCTAGATCGATGTTTCGTATAGCTTGAGGGACATTTTGTGTGTGTTGTTTGTTAATATTGAAGGGTTTAAGGAAGGAAAGAAGGCATGTTGTGGAAGCGGACCATTGAGAGGAATCAATACGTGTGGAAACCGAATGGGACCTTCACAAGGTTACGAGTTATGCGAAAATGTGACTGATTACTTGTTCTTTGATCCCGCTCATTTGACTGAGAAGGCTCATGGACAGATCGCAGAGCTGATTTGGAGAGGACCGCCTAATGTCACTGGACCTTATAATCTCAAAGCTTTATTTGAACTTAATTAGGCTTACTTAGAATCGCCGATGTATGTATATGAAAATAAAAGACGAGGTTGCTATATATTTCTTGTCTAATACTCGTAGTCATGTACTTTGTGTTTTTAATAGTAATAATGATGATTTATTTTGTTGATATGAACAATTATATGGCGAAAGTAAAACTTATTGATGAAATATTGTTTTTTTTTAAAATGAATGTTAAATTGTATTCACACAAAAAAAACCATTGTTTACATGAATACAACATTTGTTTTGAAATAAAAATAATTAGAACTAGGTAATGGTTAACCGGTAGCTGTCGTAATCGAAACCACTTGCTAAGGCTCTCGTCATAAGCCTTATCTCCTGCTATACGGATCGAACTTAATCGATTACGCATGTAACGCATGTGAACCAAAAATTAGATTTTTGGACTGTGCGTCGATCGACGTAGGGTGTGTGTCGATCGACACAGTGTGTCGACTTGTGAGAAGTCACGATTTCGGGTGTTGCGTCGATCGACACAAGCTGAAATTGAACCGGGTTGGTTTGATTTGAGTCGTCGGTTCGGCTCGGTTTAGGGGGAAACCCTAGGGCTTCCCTATAAAAGGATGTGGCCGCGATTTTGTTCGTTTTTAATTTCCAGAAAGTTTCCAGAGAGTTTTTCCAGCGATTTGAGAGAAAAGAAGAATAATTGTTGATTTCTTCCTGTTCTTGATCCTGAAAGCTCGTGTGTGTGATTGCGAAATTGTGGAACTAGGATTCGATCCGTGTTCTTCGTGGTTGAGGAAGGAATCCAGATTTGGAGATCTGACCAGTCGTGTTCTTCGGCGATTTCTTATCTTTTTTCTATCTGAAATCGAGGTGAGTGCGTGACCATGACTAATCTGGGTAAATGAATGAATTCCAATGCGTTTGTGTGATGAATTGATGATTGTTTCTTATTGATATGGATGATTTCGTCTTATTGGATGTGTTTGCTGACGAATTCTGTGCAGGAGATCGACTCGAGGCAGAGCCGAATCGGACTAGAGAGGAGAAGGTTCGATTCTGCGTTTC